CTTTTTTATAAGCCCCCTTTAAGTACTGATAGGCTGCAAGAAGGTCTCCCCGAAGCCTTCTCTTCTCTAGGCTGAACAACCCCAACTCTCTCAGCCTTTCTTCATAGGAGAGGTGTTCCATCCCCCTGACCATTTTTGTGGCCCTCCTCTGGACCCGCTCCAACAGGTCCGTGTCTTTCTTATGCTGAGGGCTCCAGAGCTGGATGCAGTACTCCCGGTGGGGTCTCACCAGAGCAGAGTAGAGGGGCGACGCCTGTCATACGCAGCTGGCTATTCACAGAAGCAGACCAACAACAAGACCAACTTAATGAAGAACCACAAGCATCTCCAAAAAAGAAAACAACAAACCGGGAAGTTTAAGTATCTCCAAGTTGGGTAAAGAGCCATATTTGCAACAGTTACAATTGGTTTATAATCATGCAAAAAAAAAGTGAACAGACTTCAATACTATTCCAAAGTTGTACTTGGATTAAATCAGTATGTGCTACAAAGATGGAAACCTGCCCTGTGTATTTGAGAGTGTTAAAAGCTTGAAAGCAGACAAGCAAGTTAAATATCTTCATAAACAGTTTCACTGATGAACACCTGAGAAGAAGCAGTCATCTAATGTACTTGTCTAGAGGATAATAATTAATCTGAGAAGACAATGCATTCCACATAAATGAGCCGGCAACAATTTAAGGTGAATGACAGATTATTCCCCATCACAAAAAACCTCCAAATTTTGTCTACAGACACAGCAGTCACCGTACCCATCATAAGCAGTTCACAATTTTAGATACAGATCATCAAGAGCTGCTTTTTCAAACTGTCCTAATCAAGATGCTATTTAAAAAGAGGGGGAAACTAGCTTTACCATCAGTACTTGCTTGAAAGGTCCATGATAGCACTTGCTCAAAGAAGCAAGGATAAAAGTAAGGCCAGACCTCTCCACTTTTAACTCAGGGGTACACCAAAGCAGAACTCTTTTTTTGTGACTACACTCAGGTGAATTATATCCTTTTCCACATGCTAATGCTTGGGAACGTAGACCTTACCATCCCTTAGTACCTAGCAGATACCTTCAGCTTAACGGCAAGTCATGGATTAACTCCCACTGACCTTTCACTCAGTGGGACTTGAACTGTGAAACTGAGATCTAGCGTCCAGTCTGCTCAGAAGCAGGATTTATTTATTTGACTTCAGTTCACATCGCTTAAATCTACTATTTGGCTTGTGCCCCCTTCTAACACTGAATATGTAGATGTATCTGCAAGATTACATACACGCAAGGCATTTTCATCTCTTATATATATGTAGCAGATACAAAATTTATCCGTCATCAACACTCCAAATGATTTCCTTTTAAAGCAACTGATGTACTGGTACACACTGATTGATTATAAAATTCCTACACGAATGGAGTAAGCAGCCACAGATTCAAAGTACAGTAAAATCAAAAAGGTACTTACCTGCTTTGCTGCTGTAGAAGAAATTTCTTTTTTTTCTAGAAGGTTCAGAAGGTCAGCCAGGAGAAAAGAACTGACTGGGCTAGGGAAAAAGGGGGCAGAAGTCACCTCAGAGAATAAGGTGAAGTAATACATCTAGGCTACTGTTGCTTGCCTAAAGACCACACAGTTTAGCATGACAAGCTAGTATTTTTCCTCATGATACGCTATATTGAACTTTGGTATTGATTGCCTGATTATGCCTTACCACTGTCACATTCCAAAGAAGGAAGAGACTGATTACTACTCTTAACTACATGGTCCTCTTCTCTGTAAGGTATTTGGTTAACTTCATTCAGCATGACAGCGTCAAGGCCTACGTAGTACTGCCTAGCGTAACAAACTTCACAGATAATAACTAAAGCAGAAGCAAGCAATGGAGTGACACGATACTATTCATGGTACATGAGAAAAGGATCACTTTCGTTTCACCACTGTAGTAATCAAGAAGCCTGACCTTTCCTTTACTATAAGGGAATGTTGTTTCAAATAACTGAGCAGGTCATTTAGAATCCAGCCGATCACTTTCTTTGGCTTCATCTGGGTCTGTTTTACCACATTTTCAAAGAATTCTGTTAATCCGTCTTCATTCTGTTTAAGAAAAGTTAAATGCATCAAAAAGATACCAGAGAGCAAACATGTTTAATTATACAATTACATTTGTCGTATAAATACTCAATCCTAAAGTAAACTTAGTTTTGTGAATTCACTGTGAAGTCACAAGACTTTAGAGTAATTTTATTAACATAACAGCAAACAAACTATGTTACATCTAGAATAGGTACACACAGCTTATCTGCCAGCCTGTCTGTTTCAATGGAACTTCCAATAAAGGAGTGATCTTTTTTTCTTAACTCCTCCCTAAAATTAGCATTTGGGGAGAAGCTTTCTCATCTTCTCATGTGTTTTAAATATGTATAATGCTAGAAAATACAATGCTGCCATCTAACAGGCTGTCATGCTACCTTTTACCAAGAAGAAATTTTTCTTGAAACTGTTTACAGATATTTCACTCTTGATCTTGCAATCGCTTCTATTTATTTTGGATTGAAGGAGTAAGTTTAGCTTGCATTCACCCTTCAATAATATGGAAAGGTCACACTGTAAGAAGCAAGGTTTTATTTTTCTAGTTTTTTCAGAGAAGCCATGTAAGCTTTTCCACAGCACCCTAAATGCTCAGAAGGTATGACAGTAGGGGATTCGATTTATAGCCTAAGTGAAATCTGAGATTGTTTTTAGAAGAACAGATACTGCACAGTCTGTTGAATGCTGTGCTGTTTGTCATCAAGGCATTGATGGATCTTTAACTGTAGCACAGAACTCATTATGTCTACTGAAGGCTGAAGAGCTATTAAGTGGCAGCTCCTACCTTTTCAAGAACGAATCCAAATCCAGCGTGCCACTGGACTTCTGCAGTGTGTGGCATAACTGCACAGGAGGACAAGCCAGCTCTCAGAAGTTGTGAGAGGTAACAGTTTAGAGACAGCCAAGGAGCTATTCTAGGCATACTATCATCACAGCAAAAACATTTTCCAAGCTCATACTGACTGCAGCCAGATCTCTCTGAACAGTTCTGAGCAAAAAGAGTGCAGGTACACACTAAACCAAAGCCTGACTTTTCCACTCAAACACATCCCGTCAAAACAGTCTCACTTGCCCTTGTTTTTAAAGGCAATTTATCAGCATAGCAATACAGAATTTTAGACTTTCCTCCTCAAAACTTTCACAACACAAACTTCCAACAGCTCTAGATACCACATTTTTCATTGGTAATGATGTATGGCTTTTGAGAAGACTGCAGACTACTGCTCTCTGTTCTGTGAAACAGAACAAAATGTACTTAGATTAATGGTTGATGTGCTGTAAAACTGGTGTGACAAAAATCAGACCCGTTCCCTTTACCTTGAGACTGTGAGCAAAGAAACAAAGTTCTCAGCCTAGGAAAGCCACTGAGGTCTTTTGTGAACCAAGGTAAATCTTGTAACTCCCCCTATTTATCCATCTAATACACACAAAACAGAATTCCTTTCTTTTCCAGTGTTCTTACAAATTTAACTAGCAGTTACTTTGTAATCAAATAATGTAAAATCTAAGGCTAAATAGACTAGAGGAACAAATCTGGCTTAAAAAAAAAACCAGTAAAGGAATGACATGATTACCAAAGTACAGTAAACTTGATTAAAATCCATGTGTGTGTTAAGTGGAATTACTAAAATTATGCATTACTAAATACTGTACTCTTTCTAATTCACCTCAGGATTCATTAGCACAAACAAACACTGATTATTTAAACAGCAGGTTCCCTTCCACAAAAACACCTGTCTAATTTAGGTAGGAAAAAGTAAGCATGTATAAATGCGCTCATTTCTTTACACTTGCTGCAGAAGGTTTTACAAACACTCCAGGCAGAGTAGGTCTAGCTACAACATTATGCACACGAAAACAATGTCTGGGGATGCCACATGTCTGAATGCAGGCTACACAACCCAGACGCAGCGTGTCCAACCCTTTCATCATGTATAGGCTGGAGAGCGTATCTCTAGCAGTAGGCACATTCGCATTTCTGGATACCAACAACCTGGCTGGAGCTCCAGCTCTGACCCGGCCGCCAGCCCTTTGAAAAATCAAGGACAAACATACCCAGCCTTCATATTCTAATCAGATCATTTCCAGGCAGCAAGAGGAGAAAAGCCCAGGAATACTCAGACAGAGACTTCTGTATGCTACCAGGTACCAAGCCCCATACTCACTACTTGTGCACATAAAACCAGACACATTCTGCAAAATTCCTTTGCATTTCGTTTTAGGCGACTGTCATTTTCTGTAGCCAAAGAGTATGAAAACCCAGCAATGCTAGACTGAAATGAATACGGCAGAATGTCAAAACATCAAAATGACTGACAGAAATGAAACATTTTCCTTATTTTCTTGCCATATTAGAAAAATGCAGGCATAACTTGATTAGCTTGAATTTCTAGATACTGTACTACTTGAACTTGACTTTAATTTGTTCTGCATTTTGGTCAACTTTCTTCATGCCAAATTCACTCCAACTACCAACACAGACACACACCTGTCCCTTGCAATAGACCTGAGCTGAAAACCACTGCACGCTCCAACATGCTGGTTTACAGGAACGCTAACAGACTGTTCTCACTTAATTCTGAATAACATATTTTAATCTTCATAGAAGGAAAACCAGAAATCTGGAATTGCAGCACCATGTTTGTGGACCAGGCCCCCTCGGTGCTCCCATTACGCACCAAATATGCTGTAACTTATTCATTAGAGTCTCACTGGCATGAAATCTGACATACCAATATTTCAACCAGATGCAAATTTCTTTCTTAAACATGGTTTAAAATGATCATTTAGTAGTATTGAGATGTCAAAAAAACCTAGTGGTGGAGTGATTCCAGATGCTTTTTAAACAAGTTTAAAACAATACATTATTTTACAAAATACCATGGGTACAATCTTTAGGGACTTTGGGTCTGTAATGCAGACTTATGCTTTTAAAGACCAATAATGTTTCCAAAGAACTGAAGAAGAAAACTACATCAATATTAACAAATAAAATGTCATTTTCTGCTTTCTTATTCCCATTTTCACCATCACAGTTCCCACAATAACCAACTGTGAGGTAACAACTGCTGCAAAAATGTGCAAGATCGTCAGGGAAAAAAACAGAAAATCTAGGCTATTAAAGCAGACAAGCAGAGCAGTCAAAGAAAGTTCAAACTTTTTCCTACAGCTTCTTAAAAAATGATTTTAAGTTCTAAAAATAAGCATAAAGTCACCTGCACACCAACGCGAATGAGGACGGCATGTCATGAACAAATGGTCAAAACCAACTTCGACAGCATCCCACTTCTGACTTTTTGACTGTTGGAAGGATTCACCAATGTAATTGTTTCACCAAAGCAATAAGCCCAGGTGGAACTGCCACTTTTATCTGAGTAAGCAGGGGAACAGTAAATGTACAGGAAGACTTGGAATTCAGATGAGAAAGGAAGTGATCAGACTGTTCTTTTCTAATGCTGTACTGTGACAACTGATCTATTTTTTGGTTGGACCTCCTTGGACTTCAGCATGCTTTTTAAGAACAAAACGTCACATTAACGTCTATGCCAATACATCTTACTTTTTTGACTCAATAGGAAGCAAGACAAAAATATTATACCATAACTGACAAAGTTGTCAGAGATCCTTCTTGACTGAAGTATTTTCCAGCCTACCAGTTTACACAGCAAAGTAGAAACTCATGCAGAAATTGAGTACCCAAACACCATGGAGTCCACATGTCTCAAAGAATTGTATCTTTACGAATAAGAAGGGTTCTGCATGAAGAAAATCAGAAACTTCATTTATTTTTGCAATTTAGACAAAACTGTCAAAAATGTAGCAGTTTACACCTAAGAAATTTCAGCTATGAAGATATTAATAGGTAGTGCTCTCCTTCCATTTCAGTACATCTTGTCATTAGGCAAGGCAGGAGTCTCAGATTCTCAGTACTGCAGTACATACAGGTAGCTATTGTATACGAGAATAAAGCTCACAAGTAAGCTCGGAAACTAACTTGCATGCTGAAGTACAGTATTGTTTTATTATAACTTTGGCGCATAATGTTTTCTCTAACAAGTTGGCGCAGAACGGAGATTTTGCATTTTAGAGCCATCCCTCTACCGCTGCCATTTATTTAATGAGCACTCCTGGGCGCTCTAACCTGAAAGAATGCTCATTAGATTTGTGCATCTGGCCCTATCAGCAATCTTCTGCAACTTCTGATGTAAGCTTAACACGGCAATGGACATACCGTTTTCAGATGAATTAAGGTTAACTAGTCTCCCAGTGAACAGGCAAGCAACTCTTATGGAGAGTATACATGCTGACATTCTAATGCACAATAAAAGAAGACCTGCAATGAAGAACGCGTTCACTTCATGCATTCAAATGGATGCATTATCTTATTACAAGCTGAATCCCAAATTTCAGCTTGGAGCTCATTAATTGCTTTATACGTTGCAAAAAGGAAAAAAGTTAAAAGGGAAAAAGCAAAGGCAATAGCGGATTTCAGAGAACAGCTGGAAAGAAAGGGCAGTTGATGAGGCAGATATATAGGGCTAGTTGATAGAGATGACAGAAATCACGCAGCAGAAGCCATCAATACCAGCAAACTTGAAACGTGCAGGAAGTGGGTTGATGCCAAGTGAAAGGAGTGAGTGTACTGGGTCTGGCTGGGATGGAGTTTATTTTCTTAAGAGCAGCCCGTAGGGTGCTGTGTTTTGGATTTGCAAATAAAGCGGTGCTGACGACACATTGGTGTTTTGGCTACTGCTGAGCAGTACTTGCATAGCGTTAAGACTTTCTCTTTTTCCCACTCTGCCCCCCACAGCGAGTAAGCTGAGGGAGGGCACGAAGTTGGGCCGGGACACAACCTGGACAGCTAACCCAAATTGACCACGGGGATATTGCATGCCATAGAACACCATGCTCAACAAGAAAAACTGAGGGAAGAGGATTTTTGGGGAGGTAGTCGGTCAGAGACTAGCTGCACATCAGTCTACTTGTGGAAGGTGGTGAGTGAGTGCATTTGCATCACTTTCAGGTTTTTCCCTTCCTCTTTCCTTAACTTATTAAGTGTCTTTATGTCAAACCATGAGTTTTCTTGCTTTTGCTCTTCATATGCTCTCCCCTGTCCCCCCCGGTGGGGGGAATGAGCGAGCAGCTGTGGTGCTTAGCAGCTGGCAGGGGTCAACCCACCACAGAGGGGGAAAAGAATAAAAAAAGTCAGAAAAAAGAGTGCAGGACCTATCTGCCCTTCTGAGCTCTGTTTATTTTAATATGTGAGAAGTATGTTGATGTGAAAAAATGCACGCATGGACAGGAATACTGGCTGCAAAATCACATTTTCCAGCTTATACAATGAAATAGAAAGGTAAGATACTACTGACTTGATGCTATCACTGCAGCCTCATGACTTTGATGAGACTTATGACTCGCCTGCCCACCAAACAGTAAAAGATCTGCAACTCACTAAAATGGCTCACCACCACATGAGCAATTTTCCTAACAGCTTTCTTCAGAAGAAGGAACCATTTTTTTTCTGTAGAACCAGCTTCTGTACAAGTATATTAAATTACAGACACACAAAGGAAGGATATTAAGTAGTTAAGTTAGGTGCACTGCTCTCCCTCCATTTATAGTCAAAGGAAAGAAACTTCTCCAGAGGACAATTTAAAGTACTTACGGTTCTGCTCTGAATCTTACTCTAAAGTCCTTTTCTTTTTGTCTCCACTAATCACAGAGGTAACCAAAGCAGGACACTGTCCTAGCTTAACTGGCTATGTGAAATGTCTAATCTTGGGTGGGTATACTAACCTCCACACAGAGTTATCATTGGCAGAGATGATGCAGTTTGTATTTAAGAAGCTTAAAGCCCTTTAGAATAATTTTGGAAGGTATGAGATTTTGCTGTCACTTCCTTATTTATAACCATATTTGCCACATCCTTTTCTTTCTCACCCCCTCTTCCGAACCTACCCCTGCTAAATTGCATTGTGAGGTCAAAGTCGATGTTGTACAGCTGTTTTGTGTATTTACCCAAGAATAAGTCTGTTTTTTTTCAAAATAATGTGGAAGCCAGATCAACTGGGGCACGTGAAGCTGAAAGATTTAAACTTTGGGTTTTGCTTCTGCAGTCAGGAAAACACGTCTATTAATTTGTTAAATACTGACAATGTGCCCAGCCTTGTACCAGACCCAAAGACAAGAAGAGCAGGCACTTGTAGATAAGGATTTGTCTGCAGGAAGTTGTACATTTGGTGCAGTCAGTCACGGGTGCATCCATGTGTAGACAGACAAGATCAATATTAAATAATAGTTATTTGACTGCACCTTGCATGAGAAATGCTTCTTCTAGGCACACTGTGTATGGTTTCTTTTTCCCACCCTTCTGTGTATATGGCTCCAAAGTACAAAGTATGCATTGGACATATTTCCAACTAAAAAAACCTCCATGAGAACTGACAGCTGGTTAATAAGACATTTGTAAAGCTTTTCAAAAACCGTGCTACTTTGAAGTTTCTAGGCTTATTTTAGCACTTGATCAATAGACCTACCAATAAGGTGAAGCTGTGTTCAGGAAGAATCCCATACCGTTCAACAAGCTTTGCTCTCTTCACACTGGGGAGGTCAGGAAGTCTCTCATGAATCCAATCAACGTTTACCACTTGCTGATGGTTCATATTAGCTGGCAAAGATTTAGCATCGTACAGAATCAATGGAGGAAGGTTTGGCTCTGGCATGAACCTAGTGAAAATTATTATTTTCAGTCAGAAGCTAAACAACAAGAAATAAAATTTGTATCACAAGTTTATGCTTACCTGGAAGTCGTATTACTATTTCAACCAAACAAAATATTAAAAATTCATGACTTGGTAGATCACTGTTAAGTAATAAGAGATCAGCCCCCGAACTGCTGTAACGCCCCTATTTTCTTTCTTTGAGTATTTGCCACTGTTTGTCAAACAGTCGATTATAGAAAAGGGGTAATTAAAACACTTCTGCACCCAAAATAATAATAAAAAATAACAACAACAGTAACAGATATGGAAACAACCCATTCCTTTGGCATCAAGCATGAATTGTGGATCTGGACAAAATGGGAGCGGACTAGCAGGGAAAAACACAGCCAACTGCCAGGAGTGATCTGGGCAGGTTGCAACCTTTTCCAGACTAACTTCAAAAATCTTGATGAAATCTCATGCTGTGCTAAAAGCAAAGTTACTGTGCTCAGCGGGGTGCCATCACAGAACAAAAGGCTCCCTTAAAGAGAAGGCCAATTCAAACCGCTTGAATAACTGCGATTGAAGCAGAAACCTCACTCTTACATGATCAAATGAGGGGTTCAAAAATATCACAATAAAGGACATTGGGCACCTTCTACATTTACTATAATAATTTCTATTTCAAATCTGCCTAAACATAGATTTTAAGTTTAATGTATGATGTGCAGAAGTAAACTACAAAAAATGTGAAAAACCGTTTAATACTGCTCGTAATCTTAGTACTAGTAATAATCCTTCTGGTCTTTATTTGAAATATCTTAGACTCACCAGTTTTGCCTAGGTTTTCATGAATTTTCTTTTGCATTTGTTCGAATTAGTCTTGTTAGATAAGCCTCATGCCAGCCCCTACCATAATAAGGAATTCATAAAATGATCACTGCCTTTTCTGCTGCATTTCTACAAAAAATAATTTAAAAAGCAGATTTAAACGTAAAGTTTGTGGGATGTTTCCAAAATCCTTGCTCTGCTCTAGTAAGATCAGTGGTAGAATATATGTAGATTTAAGCATGGAGAGGCAGGGCCTGCTATCTGAAAATCATTTCCCTCGGTATTTACTTAAAGCGTGAGCAATGCTTAACTCAGAATATTCTTACATTTCATGTCAGGTATTCTTAAGAATACACTTGCACTGGCCACAAAGTAAACCTTCAACTTACCCACTTTGAGCTAAAGTACTCCAGCTTAGTTTCTGGGAAAGGTCTATGGGTTTTAGCAGAGATAAGACACAGTTCTAGATCTGAACTACTCAGACTTGCACTGATTTTGATAGGTCTCCTCCCCTTCCAGTGGAAGGTAAACTTCCAATACACACTCCCTATACTGACTAACTTTACATGGTCATTTCACTGACTATGCTTAAGAAATGAAATAAATGCTCAGTTCTTGAAATGTTAACTTTATTTAAAAAAAAAATACCGATAATCCTGTTTTCCTTCTTTGTCTCTCATTGGTACAGTGCACCTAAAATAAAAACAAAACAAGTAAGATGTGGTAAGAGGTACACCACAGAATTAGCTTTATGGCAAAAACACAAAACGAAGACTTTGCCTCGTGAAGAGCAGGAGAGCTTCTTAAAGCCACTTCAAAGAATGTGTGCAAGAGGGCAGTCATTTTCACACAGACACTGCTTGATGTAGCACGCAATCTGTTGTGAAAAAGCCTCAACTTTAAGAATAAATTAGTACCTGTGAGGAGACTATGCTTGTGAACATTAGCTTTAGGAGACAGAAGTCTTCTATGTTACCTCTCCTGATCATGTCACTAGGTATCCGTGGCACTCTAAAACTCCTATTCCTGATGTTCCTCCAAAATAAAACTTACCCAAGCTTGGAATCAAAGGCTCTTGTTTCATTCAGAATTGTTCCTCCATTTTCAAGTTCTTCAATTTGCCTCTGTATTTCATAGTCTGACAGAAACAAAAGAAAAAAGAGTAAGCTTGTTATACTGCACTATTAGCTTTTGTACACTCCACTATTTCATTTTTAACTGCTATGCAATAATGGAATAGTTTGTTGTTTTAACCTTAATGAAATCAAGAGCAGTAGTTACAGGCAGAATTATCAGTCACTCTCTCTCTCTCCAGCACTGTTTCTTTCTTTGCATGTTTTCCTCATCTTCTTTCATCCCCTTTAAATAGAAAACATTTTCTCCCAGGCACTGCAGCCAAGCCATACATTGCTAGTGACCTTCCAATTACCCAGTTGCGTTTTCTTTTGGAGATGTACTAATCATCCTTTCTTGCTCATACCCAAGCTGCATCTGAACTTCATACACACCATCTACTCTACTCAGTGGAAAGCAATCATCTACATTGGAGGACGCAGAGCTACTGCTAACATATTTCAGTGCTAAACATGCTAGGCATTGAAGCATCTGCTTTATTCTTCTTGCAGGCAGAGGTTTACCTCTGCAAGAAAACTGCAGGCTAACACAGCTGTTATGCCCACAGTACCCCATACTAAGATTTATTTTGTCAGGGAGCAGCAAGAGCGGGGCTGCTCCACAAGAAGGGATAAGCCAGGAGCCAAGGATGACCACAGCACAGGCAGTGCCCTCACTGTCTGGTGCAGATCCACTGATCTGAACAGCATGGGCAGAGGCATGTGCTACTAACAGGGTCCTCTCGACAGTCTCAGTCAAGGTGAGGGGATGAGTTGGGTCCAGGGCCACCCAGGGAGTTCAGTCAGAAGCAGCAGGAGGTAGGTCCAGAGACAGGACTGGGAACAAGACTACAGAACAGGTTCAAGGTCCATCAGGAGACAGGACTGAAAACTGGCACACCTGTGATGTAGCTCAGGCAAAGTTTGAAGGCCCCAGCCTGACCTTAAGTTAAGCTTAAGTTTCCTTTCCTCCTTCTATGACCAGGTGACCCACCTACTGGATGAGGGAAAGGCTGTGGATGTGGTCTACCTGGACTTCAGTAAAGCCTTTGACACTGTCTCCCACAGCATTCTCCTAGAGAAGTTTCCTTAAGCTTAAGCCTTGAGTGTTTATGGGTAAGGATGAGGGGCAAGGCCAACAAGGCAGATATCCTGCTGGGAGTCTGTTATAGACCACCCAACCAGGATGAAGAGGCAGATGAAGCGTTCTACAAGCAGCTGGCAGAACTCACACAATCGCTAGCCCTTGTTCTCATGGGGGACTTCAACTTCCCGGATGTCTGCTGGAAATACAACACGGCAGAGAGCAAACAGTCTAGGAGGTTCCTGGGTGTGTGGAAGACAACTTCCTGACACAGCTGGTAAGGGAGCCTTCCAGGGGAGGTGCCTCGCTCGATCTGCTGTTTACAAACAGAGAAGGACTGGTGGGAGATGTGGTGGTTGGAGGCCGTCTTGGGCTTAGTGACCATGAAATGACAGAATTCTCAATTCTTGGTGAAGTAAGGAGGGGGGCCAGCAAAACCGCAACCATGGACTTCCAGAG